TATTTTAGGTTCAAATCTTTGTTGATCCTCAAGGACATTTGTGCGTCTCCTAAACGTCCTATATGTCCACGGTATCAAATTCATAATCAGCGGTATCAGAATCAATATTTTCCCAATGATATATCTGAGCGACGTGTATGGAACATTTTTGTACTATTAGGGTAGGGGAACATTATAAGCAAACTATGCGATAGTCGCGGTTCTCAAGGTCATCATCTGACGTTGCGATGACGTTAAAATTGGGGGAAAGCATGTCTAACTTTCAATCTATGCCAGGAGTTAGGAATGTTTTCCTTCTGTTTTAACGTCATCTATACGTCATCGCCAAGTCATGACCTTGAAAACCGCGAATATGCTTCACCAAATAAGAGATATAAAAAAGTTTGATATTTGATGGAGGGCTACAAGAGTACCAGATTTGGGTTTTATGTTCGTATTTTTCAGTCTACCAGTTTTTGGTTAATTATCCATTTGGTGTCTCACTTCATAGGTTACAAGCTCGAGTCTTAGCAGAAGAATGGGAAAAAAGAGATGAATTAGAGAGGCTGCAAGATGAGCAGAGACTACTTCTGGAGGAGGAAAGGGAAAAGAGGAAAGAGTACGAGGAGCGACAGAGACAGAAAGAGGAACAATTAAGAAGTAAGTTGCAGGAAAAAAATAAAAATAGAATGAAATTGAGCTAGTTGGTAAGGAGGATTATGTGGTACCTACATAATAAGACAATATAGAATCTGCGTAAATGCTATATAATCCAATAAAGTGATAGGTACCTGCATGATAGGCTCTTTTAGTGACGAGTGTTCAAAAAAAGAGTGTCTAGAAGAGTTTATGAACGCGTTACATATACAGGTTGACAATAATTCGAGCTTGAGCATGGGGATCTCGGTTATTTTGAGAGATACGATTGACAATTTTGAAGACTTGAGAAATAAAAACTGTTGGATATTTGAATTGAATGATTCAAACCCGACGCATTTTGATCCAACAACATATAATCTCCAAAAGTTCAAAAAAAATTCCAATACCTACCTCCTGTCCCTATCCTCCCTAGGAACGCACGATGTTCTTTGAACATTATAGGGATTCCCTTTCGTGCGCTCCAAGCGATAAAAAAAAAGACAAGGAGGGAAAACTCCAATAATCTCTAGACCTAGAGAAAAAATCACGTCATCAATGACATCCTTCTGTGTATAATTTATTGTGTTGGCGATGATGAATAATATAGTCAAATGAAATAATCATGGCATATTGGCTATTATTCATGAACTTGATATTAAAATTAAGCGGTATCAAACAGATACAAGAGATTTTCTTATAAACTGATCGAAAAAAAATAGGGATATTTTCAAAGGCAAACGAAATAGGTATCAATAGCTATACCACATTTTTTCTAGAACAAAATTTTCATAGTAAATACACAATATTCATAAACTTTTTCGATCAGTTTAATACAAAATGTTAATATTACTAACTTGTTTTCACAAGAACGAGCGATTACGTGGGAATTATGTTCATCTACATCTATACTTTCAGTTTCATGTGGGTGCTGTATACATATTTTCATTAATACAGTGTAGCACGTTTCATTATCGGTGTGCTTATTTCGGAAAATCGTTGAATAAATTATGCATGCAAGGAGAGCATTCATTATTCGAATTCATTGTTCAAAAGCTAGAGGATCAGAAGAACAACATGAACTTCGATTTCAGAATATATTGAAGTAATTTTTAAAAGCCTTTCATAGCTCATAGTACAATTAATGATTTCGAGGATTCTCATCTATCGTCTATAGATGAACTGAAATAAAAACCAATCTCCGCAATGAATCAACCATCATTTTCTTGAAAACCATTGCATCAATTGATTAACCTCTGTCAGAGATAATTCCGTAAGCTTACTGTTGCGTTGAAACTAACCGTGCTGGCGTATGCAGTCAGTAATTAAGCCTATACAGAATACATATGCACTATGTACTATCACTTATGATTTCAGATGCTGAAGAACGTCTTGCACAACTAGAAGAAGAGCGCCAAGATCTCGACAACCAGTTGAAAACAGCGAACCAAAAAATCAGATTTGCCGAAGACAAGAAAGAATTACTCGAAGCTAAACTTTATCAAGCTATACCCGTTCTGAGAGAAGGTGACAGAGTGAGGCGAGCTCACTCTTTCGTACCGAGCACCAAAGAGCGGCCAGTCATTTTGGAAGTCCGGTCTGGAACTCTGAAGCGGCCTAGCAACCACTTGTGAATTATAACAAACTTACCTCACCAAACGTGCCACAGTGTATTCTTAATCTCTCTATAAGTCTATTGAGTTCATGAGGACCCGCATTTGGACAATTTCATTTTTGTGACTACCTATATATTCATTCAGTGATTCATGTGATGAGGACATGACAAAAAAGAGAGAATTCCTTCATCAATGGACGAGTTCAGCAATTTATTGCCAACCTTGAAATTAGCTAAAAACTTCTTTTGGAAACAGGTTATTTCCATGAAATATTGAAGCATTATTGATGACATCTTTTTCCTCATCTATTTTATAGATATTTTCATGGACGATGCTCTTCTGGAATATCAACAATCGTTCCTTAACATTGCCAAGGGAGGTGTTCCCCGAGGCATATAACCACCAGGAATTTAAGAAGAACACCAATTCTTACCTTATTTCCCTTGGTTCTCACGATGTTCTCTGAACATTACATGATATACCTTTTCGTGGGAACCAGAACATAAAAAAAATACAGGAAGTCACCGACTCTGGAATCGTGGGAGATTATCAAAACTCTGATGACAAGTAATGTTGAGGTTATTTCAGTTGATAGTGAATTCCATTGGTGAAATTGTCTCGCACTGAGTGCATATTTTGCATTCCATTGGTAAAACTGGTGTCGAGTTTTGAATTCCATTGGAAAACTAGTTCACATAGTTTTGAGCTCAGTAAAAATTCTTGCTCGAGCTCTAATAGGTAGTGCGAAGACAGTGCAGTTTTCAAAATGGCGGAAACATTTGATATGAATAGTTTGAAAGCCAAATTGTTAGTGCAATCTAATCATCATCATCAAATAGTGGTGAAAAGTTGGAGGTTTCAAGAAAATAAAGGAGATTACTTCCCAGAATTCATAATTTTGTTGAAAGTGTTCTGCACTAATTCAATTATGAAGAGATACTTATTAAAAGAAGTGCTCAAAATTATTCCGATGAAACATTTACTTAGTTTTTAATTGAAGTTAAGAAAGAATTTCAGGATGCGAACAAGTTATAAACGACAAACCAACTTATCCGATTTAACCTCCAACAATATTCTTCTTACAAAATTATTATTTCGTATTCCAATGGAAATGCACCATTCCACATCTTGGAGTGCAAAACTGGTGCAAAACCAGTGCACATTCAAGGAGTCCCTGTTCACCAGTGTGAATATTATGTTGAGCCCTTATTAGAGAAGAAAGGAAGGATCATCATAAAAATATGGAACATCCTTTGGATATCATGTTGAGAGCAAAAATAAAAACTTAATGTTTCACATTATTTCACAGTACAGTATCAGAACCATATCAGAACACAAGACTATAATATAGGTTCATCAACATGAACAATCTACTACTGAAGTAAAATGGGTAGGTAACACAGGTAGGTAATGAGTAGTTGAGTGATTTCTGATAGGTATACTTTTTGGAAAAAGAGGTAATGAGATTATTAGGTAAATTCGTTTTTTTTATGATGATCCTTCTTTCCTTCTCTAATATGGGCTCAACATAATATTTATACGGGTACACAGGTACTTCTCGAATGTCTTTGATGTCTGAATCAAAGATAAATTTCATCAAATGAAAATTCTTGAATATGATGCCTGAATGCCTTCTTTAAATCGTTTCGTCTCGTATAAACCTGAAAACGGCCACAGGGGTCACAGAACGAAACAAGCATGTGTTCATCTCACAGGCGAAATAACCTCAAAATCACTTGATATCAAAGTTTTTATAATTTCCAGAGATTCGGACGCCGGGGACTTCCTGGTACAAAAATCGTATCAATATTTTATGAAAATAATCTGTTTTCGGTGGTAGACGTTTTCTACTATTTTAAAATAACTTGACAATAAATTGCTGAACATTAGAATCAACTCTCCCATTCCTTACCTTTCATTTCTCACCACATTCACAAATCTCATAGGAAACTATAGGAAAATGGCTCTCGATGAAAATCCCTGAATTTTTGGTATGTTGTAGACTTTGATATACTGAACAGACCTTTCATTGAACTAACCTCAAAAAATGGACAGTTTTTCCGATATTGACCCTGAAAATGGTTGAATTTTTGGCATGTTGTAGATAAGAATGAACTGATGAAAAAATCCAATTGGCCTAACCTCTAAAAATTCAACCATTTTCAGATACTATTTTTTCTCGAAAAAATGACATTTGGAGGTCTATATCGGAAAAACTGACCATTTTTTGAGGTTCGTTCAATGGATTATCTGTTCAGTATATCAAAGTCTGCAACATTCCAAAAATTCAGCGATTTTCATCGAGAGCCATTTTTCTTATAGTTTAGTGCGGGGTCCTTTTCAGAATTTAGTTGAAAATATGTATAGTTTATCCAAAAACAATTGCAGAATCTTGTGCCGCACCTGCAGTCACTTCAAAGAAAACTTCAAACACGCCGACGCCGCACAGTGTGGGATATTCTGGAATTGATATTGGATATACTTTACAATGAATCATCTTGGATTCAATATTTGGTTTCTAATTGGATACATCTGAATGATTCGTTATCGTGGAATCAGAAAATCTTGAAAGTCTCAATCAATACGATTGTGATAGAAGTGATATTGATCGAAAGTCATAAGAGCGGTAGTTCAAATTCACATAAACATAATCGATAATTTACAATAAATGAATTACCTATATCATCACTAAAAGTGTTTTGATTAGGAAGTAACGTTTCCAGTGGATACCTGACACTATAGTGAATAAGGTACTAACTATGCATTTTCCAATATTTTTTATATAAAGGTACGATGAAAAGGAAGATATACCATTATTATACAATGAATATTCGAATACTTCAATATCCAGAGCTATAATTTGGAATTTAGGGAACTCGGTGAATTCTAGAAAATTGGTGTAGATTCCTTTTTCGTGAATACTTCGAAATTAGGATTCGACAAACTTTCGAAAACGTGCTGTTTGATCTTTTTGTCTGTTCCAAGAGCAACATTTGGATCACTAGTTCGAGTGACAATTATTCGGGGAGCTTTAACTGAAAATAAATTAGATGATACTAATTGGCGAGAGAAAAAATATGGACACAAATTGATACTCACATTCAAATCCGCTCTTCTTTCCTCCTTTTCCTAAATTCGTGGAGAAAGGAAAATTGCGTTAGTTGGTTTTTCCTGATGTTGGTGTTTTTTTACCTCCTTTTCCTTTACCTTAAATGAGGATAACAATAAGTTTCTTCTTCAAATCACATTGAAAGTGGCTTTTTAATAGCGCTTAAAAGGCAGAAAAGGTGTACTTTTACTGTCTAGGAAGAGAAAGTTTGTTGCTATGCAACGTTCCAAGTAATGACTTGATTCAGATTAGTAAACGAAACTAAAAATGATGGATCATTCGGGCTTTGCGCGAAATTGTAACGAATTTGGAGATAAGGATATATGTTTCACATGGCAGAAAAGGACACTATTTATTGCAAAGTCCTAATAATCCTTCATTCTCAATATTGTTTACCAATCTGAATCATTCTCTGCCTAGGCAGTACAGGTAGAGAAAGTACAACTTTTCTGCCTGTTAAGTGTCAGTTAAAAGCCTTTTTTAATGTCATTTGGAGAAATAGTTGATTTTGTCTAGTGCGCGAAATGCTATTTTGGTGATCGAGAACTCAGCCGAGTATAAAAAATAGTCAAAATGGCCAAAGTATTTTGAGCACGAGTTGCAAAAAACATGTTTTCTACAAAAATGTCAAAAATGATAGTTCTGAAGTAGTAATATATGCTTAGCTTAATATAAAAAGTAGTGTTGAACTGGCTTAAAAGGCTCTAATTATTGTTAAACATTTAGAAATACATGATTTCCCAGATGTTTGCTCGATTGAGGGCCATAAAGTTCAAATACAAAAATCTTTTATAGTTTACATACACATCCGTAGTTTTTTGAACGGACCAATGAACGATAAGTAATCTTGGTAGAAGTTTTTACCTTTTTTGCCTTTCCTTTTAGCTCGTCGTTCTCGATATGCTCTCCAGTATCTCTGAATTTTTCTAGCAGCGCGATTTATTAGTAAATGATAAGCCATTTCGTTATAAATTCTTTCCTCTTCCATTCTTTTCTCCTCCATGAGACTGATATATTCGTCTTCTTGTTCCTCTAAGAGCTCTTCTAATTTTTCAGTCTCGGCTTTTTTCTCATCATATCTAGAATATTAACTACATTCTGAGTATGGATACAGTAGTTTGATCATTCCATATACAGGCTGAGACAGGACTAACCAGCCACAACTCGATGGCGGCATGTCTTTCAAAAAGTTTGCATCATATTCTCCTATGGGACCCAAGGCTCGAAATTGCATAATTTCAGCATATTCATTGAATTTTTTTTGTTTTTGAATGTACGACAAATTGATATTCATCATACAGAACGTGGAAAGACATTCAAAATAGAGAAAACTGAATCACGAATCTGCGATTGAAGTTCTATAAAAATAACAAGTTTCCATCGTTCAACCCCTTATTTGGGTGGAGGCATTGAAAAGGAATATTCTCTGATAAATTATGAACATGAAAAAATGATATGTATATCCATTTCTCAATTTTTTTATGTTCATAATTCATCTGAGAATATTCCTTTTCAATATTCATTGAATTTATCTGGAGGTTATAGGTTGAGAACCATGAAAAAATTAAAAACTGATTAATCGACGCGAAATTTAGAAAAAATCTCTGTCCTCTGAGATGAACACGGAGTTTACATCAACATTCATTCTCTTTCTTAAAATTCATGAAAGAATTTTGAAAATGAATTTTTCACAATGGAACGCCATTTTTTCTGGAGTTTGGGTATACACCTAATCGAATTTTTTAAATCAACACATAGCTAAGAGGGGTTAGCATCGTTTTCTTCCTTGATTTGATTGATTTGGTGTTACTTATGGTAATTCGCGAGAAACGTCAACGATTTAGTGTTTTTACCATATACGTATTAATAAACATTACGGATCATAACAGGTGCCAGGATGAAGCCAAAAATATGAAACAAATGAATAATCTATGATATCCATAAGGATTTGGTGGCATGATACGCTAGCGCCATGCGCTATTATAGTAGTCATCAAAGACATGCGTTTCGGTGGACAATGACGTTTACTAGCCTTTCAACCAAAGCAGTATGTGTCTGATCGTTTCAAAACTTTTCCTTATGGATAGTCATTTGTCTTCAAAAATCGGCTTCATGTTTCGCTATGGAAACAGATAGAGATTATCCGTATTGATTATTAATACATATATGGTTTTTACCTACATTTTGCATGCTCATATTTCAGAATACGTTCCCTCCATTTAAAATATTTTCAGCAATGCAGTGTTGCCGCTTTTATCAAAAAGTAGCCAGAACTTTGTAATATCAAATAGAATACCCTGTATTCTCTTGCGTCTTTAGATTTTCCCTGAAGAGCTGATTTCATCGATTCATCACACTTGGGGTCTATCGAAAATGATTACAGAGATACAGGGTGTTCAGAATCGAGATTTTTCAATTCTAGAATTTGTTTGTGTCGAAACTATTCATTATCTATCTCAACTTTTGATTCACTATGTACTGATATTTAATCGGAACAGATACAGGATGATCAGAATTCTCAATCTTGACATGACATGACAGATCCCGAAAACATAATATTGCTCCTATATTATTTTCATTTTTACGATTGTTGAATTTTACATATTTGTACGTTTGTGGAAGTGAGATTTTCATCTCACTTCAACAGGTACCTTTCCTTCTGAAAAATCTTACTCTTGTTTCAGTTTTTCGTATTGCCCTTGCTTATCCCCGATATCTTGATCGAATTTTGTCAGCCAATTCTGCAGCTGTGTTTCAGCCTTGAATCTCTTAGACCTCGAAATTTTTTCTTGGTTCAGATGATCATCTAAAAGAGTCTCGTACTGGGCGATGAGTTTTTTGGCATCCTCTGCTAGCTCCGCTTGCCTGATTTCGCTTTCATTGCTCTTATGCATCATTATTTTCTCAGATTCGTGTCTGAAATGAGATATTTTTTTCATTTTGTTACTCATCTGAATGAAAACGAACCGGTCACTACAAGACACTATTTAATGCCCTCCATACAGGGTGAGTCATGACTAACCAGTCATAGCATAATGGCGGATAGATGAAGTCAAGATGAGTTGATACATATGTGAAAAAATATATTCTGCCTATTCGTAACATAATTACTCTCATTGAGTAATCATTATTTTGTAATTCTGAATATAGATATTCTTGAAGAGAGTATTCAATGATTCCCATAAAACGATAATCACACTGGATAACAATTTTCAACATCCAAATATTTGCAAATTTCGAGGTGAAACCTATATTTCAAAATCATTCGCTATTTTATTTACTCGAAAAATTCAAAATTTTGATGCAAAAAAAATGAGCTTGTGCCCCAAGCTCATTATTCTGATTCAATGAACAATATTTAACAGCTCCTTTATCTCTAATAGCGAAATGAGAAGAATTCTTAATAATAATATTAATAATAATGAATCTCTCCAGCTACCCTGTCAGCTGACTCATTTTTAGTTTCTTAGGAATTAATTTTCAACTTCAGCTTCTAGATACTGAAAGCGTTGTCTGGCGATGACTATAATGACTATAGTAATCATTTCATTGTGGTAGGAAGAGAAATGTCAACTTCAAGAGCTAGTTTTGAAGAAAAAATACATTTGTGGGTTGATCGCAGACAAATCATAATTTGACTCACAGAATATTGGAATACTGTTGCTGAAAATCTTCTTTAATATTTTCCATCTTCTCGTGGTACATTTCGAAAATCTTCACTTTCTCGTTGAGTTGATCTCCAAGTTCCTTTCTTTGTTTTTCCAACTCTTCCTTCAAATCTGGAAAGGGTTTGACTGATATTTGAACTTTGGTTCAGCAATGTTGTGAGTAAAGTGAGAAATGATATTTTCCATCATAATTTTGAGAATGTATTCTCGAAAATGGTATGGTAACATATTCCCATATAGGGTGGTCCAATTTATAGAACAATTCCAACAATCGATAGATCTTATTTGAAAAAGTTTCTATGTATGGGGAATAGTTTCGAGATACTGAGTGCAAGATATGTGTTACATATTCATATACATTTTCATCACCGTTCATTGGTGAAATACTTTCATTGGTTCTAAGAGTTTCACGAGGAAACTGATAAGAGATGCAAGATCCCTTCTTTTAAGGGTTCAGCATATAAACAAAGGTCATTGCAATACACTCGAAGTTACTATACCTTTTGCTGAACAAAACTCATATGCTCGTCAATACTCTAATATTAGGTGCTAAAGAATTATTTTCATTAATATAAGCACTAAAGATTCAAAGGTTACAACAGAGTAGAAGAATATAATAAACAATGTCTAGGTATTACTGTTGTCTTAGCTGATATCTATTTCTTCATCTGAGCTGTTAAAGAAATATCTGCTCAATGAACTTTGATTCCATATCTACAAATCATTCACAATTGGATTACTTGTAATGGATTATAATATTTTCATTTTATATTTTATCATATTTTTTCTTTATGTAAAACAATAATTGTGTAATCATTATTGTTTCGATTTATTATGTTATATGTATATTTCGTTGTATATATCCATATTATAAACAATAATGTTTCTTGAGGTAAAAAGACAATCAATCAATGCCAGGGGAAAGTTAGGATGACCAGTATAGTTTAGACTTAGAGCTGTAAGGGTGTTGTCCATGAATACAATAATTGTATCTTACTCTTACTCCAAAATAGTCATTTCAAACCTGAATTACTCTCATTACATTGGTCTATGCGTCCAATCTCCTGAAATGATCAACGACACAGTGCTTTTTCAATTCTGCTGAAAAAAACTTTCCCAAAAAAAATCCACGCACATGATATATTGAATTGAGTTATGCCCAACACATTTGATATCAATAATCATTGAATTGTCGGTGATAAAAACTACCAGGTATTAAAGTTTGACGTACCATCAATAATTGCTGTCAATAAATCGTTCGATTTGAAAGCCCTTCTCAATTCTTTATCTAATGCTTCTTCTTCATCTCCCGTAACGTAAAGCGTTTTCTTCGCAATTTCTCTCAATTCTTGGAACTGTTTGATAATACTCATGATATTTCTATCCACTCTGGGGTTCTTAGCAGTCTTGATAACAGGTTGCAGGCATTTGTTATAAAATAGCAAATCGATCATGTTGGCAATATATGGATCAGTCGCTTCGAAAGCGTCTTTGGGCGCTGCTGATGGTCTCAATGTAGTATCTGACTGAAATTGTTAGAATTATTGATTGTTATATGATTGATAGAGATAAAACAGTTTCTCTTGTCCTGATGACACATTACTCGAAGTTATATCGAGAACCTACATAATTATATGTATATACATTACTATTCCTCAACAGGATTTAGAATTCATCACAATATCATATAAAAATTGCTAAATATCGAAGTTCCAAGACTCGCCGTTGAACTTGATACTGATATTATAATAGAGCAAATACTTATGAGAAACATAAAGTAGAAGACGCAATCGTTTTGATATTTTTGCAGACGTTTGCGGAAGTCATCCGCATGTACTACTTCAATTTATCTGTTGATATAATATTAAAAAAATGTCTTGCCCTAGCTGTGATTCGAACTCAGACCTCCCCTCCGTCGACTTTCAATGATATATCATCATTATTATTTTTTTATCGTCTATTATACTTCATGTATTTGTAGAAAGTATTGTCATCACGAATTATCAACTTCCTCACCAAGTTCCACGGTATTCCCACCATTCGATGGATATGAATATCAGAACGGGTGCGGTTTCATGGAAACTCGATCATCTTGTGTATATTTGTGAGTCTGATTCGAGAAATGGAATTATCATGGATCGATGTTGATGAATTGAAAAATGAATTGATTTTAACCGCTCACTTTTTCGGAAATTTGCTATTTTTGGACCAACTCTGTATATCTGTCAATTTACCCCACTCCTGCCCCTATGCCTATGCCTATGCTCCTATGAAATTCATCCAGCTCACAAAAAATATCGCTGATGAGAGATAATGTTTGAAACACCATTTATAGGATTCATATACTCACTTGTTTAGTGCTCAATGGTATGTAGTTTCCATTTTTCGGATCAATTTCTTTGAGATATTCATAATATTCAAACGTCTTTTCATATCTACTTGTGTTGAAATTCGTGCCCCAGCTATTGAGAAGTTCCAACACAAACAGCACTTCCATAGGTTTCATATATTTCCGGAGCAATTCGGCATCATTTTTCAGTAGAAACGGAAGATGGGCCTATGAAATGTAAATATATACCTAAATCGATCGATCTCAAGCATCCTTAATTGGAATGCTGAAAATCCTATTAGGTGAATGAAATGAGCAAGCCTCGTGATCATCTTCAGTTATGCTTGTCAACAGAATATCCTTATTACATTACATAATTACATAATATATCAAATATCAGTGGAGGACCAGAACGAAAGTAACTCAAGTACTCACCAATATATAGAGTTTTGCTAAACATCTATTGATCACATAAATGACCCTATCTGCTTGTATCTTCAGATCCATTTCTGCTGGATCCAATTCTCTTTCTTTATATCTATCAAACACCTCCATGAACTCGTCGTCCATATTGAGGTCCTCTAAAATTGATCTGGGTGAAAAATTAGGCATCTTTTTATATCTACAACGGTAATATCTTCCTTCAATGAAAAATTCTATAAAAAACGTCAGGAATCGATGAAACGAAATGGTTCCTAAGCAACTATTGTATGTTACCATAGCAACCTCGTTTTCTTTTTCCATGGATAGAATTTTATGGTATACTGTTAACGACTAGCGACTAGCTCAGTCAGTTTGGATGGGATACAAGTGAGGCATTCTCAAAAATCATCCCGAAATGGCTGGTAAAAAGAAGAAGACTTTGGCAAACAAGCTTGCCAAGATGTCAGATGAAGAAAGGGCCAGGTATATGCAGCATAGAGCTGATATTGAGGAAGAAGCAAAAAGGAGAAAAGAGCAACTGATTTCTACTTTCATGAAGGTATGAATACTTAATAAAAAAACGAGTTCAGGTCAAGAGATACCGTACGGGGGTACCGTACTGATTTGTTGTATTCTGGACCAAACGCACAAAATGCTAAACCATGAAAATCCGCAAATTTTCCGCTGATTTTACCGGGTGTGGTTAGTGATATATCTTCTAAAATATTAGTGGGCGGTTGCATACAGCATTTGAGATAGAATTGAATATTCAATTTGTTTATATCCATGGCAAAGTATGTCTTATAGCTGATGGTTGGAATGGTTTCACCAGAAAATGGCTCCGGTTTTCAAATTTTCATTGGAACACCCTGTACATTGTATTATGTTTGGAAGTTTGATACAATTTTGGATCAAAATGTTACATTTTTCGACCTCTTATGTGACTACCATCAGTAATATCAAATACACTATTGAAGAGAAGGAGAAAATCTATAAATATTTTTTTCATGACTTTTTCTACCTTCATGCAAAAAACAAACCTTTATTGAACTATTTTTAGTACAGAAAAAGTGATTTTATATTGCACTAGTATGCGATACAATTTTCATTGCACTCATCTGTCATTTCAAATCGACGTCATGCCATAGTCCATTTTCTGAGAGATTGCATTAGCTTTTAAACAATTGCATATTTCATATTCACAATGTCTTCTTGATAGTCCAAGAAGGCATGTTTAACCATTGTAGTTTATTTACTTCCGTCATGTGATAACGAGTTGAAACCAGAAGCAAATGAAAGGAGATAATTTCGCCTTTGCGAATACCCAAATGTGCAGAGATTCAAACTTGAAGTTAGTGGCAAGCGGTCAATACTCCCGAGAATATTTCGCACTCCTCTAAAGATAATATCCGATGGACCATTGTTTCACACTGGTCCATCGGATATTATTTTTCGACGAGGACGAAATATTCACGGAAATATTGACACTCTGCCACTAACTTAGATCAACATGAATCGCGGCATGTTCGGATAGTTGCAAACACATTTTTAACTTTCATTTGCTTTTTGTTTCAAATCGGTATCACATGACGGAAGTATGCCCAGAATAATAGGAGCAAATGAATCGCATGTGCCATGGATTTGGCTCAGACTGAGGGGTGGCACAGATAGGTTTTTGAGATCTACCATTCAATTGGTATAAGATGGCATAATTCTCATCTCGTTATAGAATCGCGGATTCGAGTGCAAATTTACGCACAGAAAAGTGCGAACTCATAAGCAAGGCAGATCCGCTCAATTCAAACCGTCAACGCGGCGCATAAAGCAAACTTGTCAGCGCGGCGAATCTAGAAACAGGACGCAACAAATACACTCAGTTCCAAAAAAAGTGACGCACTTGATATTTGACCTATCTTCTTAAAAAAAAAAAAAAAAAAAATAGGAGGCCGATTTTTATTTATTCTCTATTTGTTGGTAGGTAATGCATTTGTCTTTGAAAAAAAAATGAAGAGTTGAAAATGTTTTCAAAGCCTCCTTGATGGTGGTGGAATCACTCGAACCATGATTTATTCTGAATTTTTTACTCACCCTGTCTGTTAATTGAGTAATGGCATAAAAAGTGCTTACACCCTATACGAAAGAGGCTTCTTTTGCGAGCATTTTGTTTTTTTATTCATTGATTTATCTCTAAAATTTTCCGAATTACAGCTTTTTTTGTTGAATCCTTGCAGATTACCAACTTTCTGAATTTATCGAGAAACAATTTTCTAATGAAATAAACTGATACCAATAATTTCAAAAAACATTTTCATTTAACACAAAATTATAAATTGGGATGACTGCTTAATACCGTGTATTGCCTCCTCTAGCAACTCTGAGAACTTCCAATCTACGAGGCATACTGGAAATTAAGTTGCTTATCGTTCCCATTCTTCCACTAATGCATCTGCCATTTCTGCGAGACTTTCCGAAGACCTCTCGCGAGAACGTACCCTTCTCCCTGATTCATCCCACAAATGTTCTATAGGATTCAAATCGGGCCTTCTCGCAGGCCATTGTAATATGGTAATACCAGTAGCTTCTAAGAAGGTTTGCACTATTGCTGCGGTATGTGGTCGGGCATCATCCTGCATCAATATAAAATTATTGCCCACTAACACTGCATAAGGTAAGACATACTGCTCTAAAATGTCAATGTCAATTTGGGCATTCATCGACTGCCTCATTGGAAAAACATGAAGGGGTGTCTTTCCATTCATTGAAATCCCTCCCCACACCATAACGGACCCACCATTAAAACTTTCGCATTCTGTTATTAAATTTTGAATAAACCGTTCACCAGTTCTTCTCCACACTCTTTTTCTTCCATCCACCATGTTAAGGCAAAACCTTGACTCATCCGTAAACAAGACATTCGACCATTCAGGAATATTCCACTGTCCATAATTTTCAACAAAATTTCTTCTAGCAGCACGATGTTCGGGCAATAATTTAGGACCTTTTGCAGGTCTCCTAGCTTTTAAATCAACTTCTTTTAGACGTCTACATACCGTCTGCTTACTTACTGCACCATCACGAATTTGGCGAAGATCTTGCTGAACATTTACCGCAGTATTTGATCGATTCCGTAAAATCCGCAATCTCAAGAAGCGATCATCTCTTGGAGAAGTTTTTCGGGGGCGACCAGAACCGTACTTGCGGATTGCTCTACGAGCAGTTGCTTCATGAACTCCCACTGCACTAGCGGCGTAACGTTTACTACGCCCATCGTTTACTAACGCAACTAATCTTGATACTTGTTCAGGATTTATTTGAGGCATTTTATGTTTTTTAAAGACAATGTGATCCTACCAGAGAACAACCCAATCAATTCTGAGTACTCTGATCCTTCAATAAATTTAATTTGTGGGATAAGCGTATAAGGTATCAGCAAAAAAGCTGTAATTCGGAAAATTTTAGAGATGAATCAATGAATAAAAAAACAAAATGCTCGCAGAAGAAGCCTCTTTCGTATAGGGTGTAAGCACTTTGTATACCATTACTCAATTAACACACAGGGTGAGTAAAAATAAATAAATCATGGTTCGAGTTATTCCACCACCATCAAGGAGGCTTTGAACAAATTTTCACCTCTTTATTTTTCTAAAGATTCATGCATTCAATGCATTACCTACCAACAAATAAAAAAAATAAAAATCGGCCTACTATATATATTTTTTTAAGGAGATAGGTCAAATATCAAGTGCGTCACTTTTTTTGGAACTGAGTGTACATCGTCGAAAGCGGAGGAACTGTAGAGGAATCACTTGAGGGTTGCAAAACAGATACCTCAGCCTGAAGAAAATGACAATAAACAGATACCAAGTACTAGTACATTCAGAGAGCAGGTTGCAAATAAAATAGTAGACTTGAGAATAATAATTCGTTAATTAAAAAAATACAGGGTGTTCCATCTGAAAAACAATAAGAGTTTGGGTTATTTTGTTAAAACCCATGGATTTGTAAATCATCATGCATGACGTTTTTTTTTGTATTCTAGAAAAAAATCAAAAGAGAGGAGGCCTTCACAAGATTGAACATCGCCAAGATCAACCAAAACTGGCACCAAATTATGCGAAAATCTAAATGTAAACAAATGAGGGAAAACATTGAGGTATATACGAACGTATCTACTATCTACTCGAGTTTAGGATCTTCAACCATCTATACGGGGTGTTTCGAATTCCAATCATGAAAATTTGATAGTCGCAGAAATAAAAACAATATAGTTTGGATAAACTTATATGATTTGGAGCTTAGTTTCCGAGATACAGGATATTGACATTATTTCAAAACTATAATTGTTTCTGACTATCAATGAATATGATGAACCTTCATTCGAATTCAGATTCATATTGAAAAACTCATGGAACAAGAGAACTGCATCTTCTATTGTTGAATCGAATGAAAATATGGAACTTTGAAGAAACCAATAGAGCACTATGATTTTTACCATCATAAATATGAATCAGATAACCCTCTGTAGTGTCGCACTGGTATGAGTACGGTGAATCTAGTTAGGTCAAAACATACATTTTCAAATCACAAACAAACCTGCTGATTTTGATCAAAATCATTCAAGAGAGGTTTCGAGTAATGTGAATAAAAAACAATAAACAATCATCTTGTATATCGAAAATGAGTTTCCACAACATATAAGTTCATTTTCCTGATTACAATATTTGACATACCCTGTATATTATGCTCATTTCAGCATTTGAAAAAGTGGATGGAAGATCAAATGAAAAATAGGAATGAAAAAATAGAGAGATTGATGAGAGATCTCGAAAAAGCCGAAGAAGTATATCTCACAAACTTCAATTCGCATTCAACTCACATTGACGATATTTTGGATAACCAGAATCGCTATGTGGAGAAGCTGAAGCTAGAGTACCAGAATGATTTAGAGGAGCTATTGAATTGTAATAAGAGAGAAAAAGAGATGATTATGGACAATACTGATAGAGAAGAAGATCATTTGAAAACTATTGTATATGGACAAGAGACGCAAGCTAAGGAGATAATAAGAAGCGAATATCAGGGCTATATGCAAATGTGTTATGAGACGGAATGTGAGGTAATTTGTTTCTCCTAATACAAACGACAAAAATATGTCATGGTGAAAGTATGTTATTATTCAAAATGTTTTGGAATAATGAATTTTACCAGGTGGCGCTCGGTTTTCATCGTTCTATCTCAAAGCCACGTCAAAACTGGGGGGAAACAAACGCAATCCTCACTCAATCCCATTAGTGCCATCAGCTAGTGTACTGATAAGAAAGATAAGTTTTCAAATTTCTTGACATTAATTGTCAATATTCGATCGAACACGCTAATAAAGCCTGTTGTAGATGTTCTAGTTCTAGTTCTCCGTGCTAATCATGTGATTTTGTGTGAGGCAGAAGACTTCAACAAAAGCCACATTTTTGCACTTCGTCTACAAACTTCGGCGATGAAATCTTCCCCACATGAAGTATAATTGAAGTTGGGGTCCAGAGGAACTCCTGTAGAACAATGAATTTGTATTTGTTCATGCAAAGCAGGACAATCTGGGTATTGTAAACATGTTGTAGCTGTTCTTTTATATGTCAATTGATTTGCTCGTCATAATTCTTCACCCGTTCACTGTTCACTAAACTAATAAAAATGTAATAATGTAAAAAAATTAACCAACTCAACCATCATCACTACAATCACTACCAACAGTGCCAACACTTTATGTCATTGACAAGTTTGACTACAGCTACAGCAAGCTGAATGCAATGTAGTCTATGCACTTCATTCATAGACAACAGTTTGTTTTCTTCCAGTTTGAAGTTCGTATTATGTAACCCAGATGTCGCCCACTTCGTGAATCTCGCGAATAATTTCTCACGAGTTTGAAGTTTGCAGCATGAAATTAAAATTGAAAGTTTTTCAAATACTGAGCTGTCATAAGAAGAATATTCATTGACATTCCGTTGGTTTTGTATATTGTTTAACGAGCACAAATTGATAGTTATTTTCAACGAGAATGAACTTCGCAGCATGAGCAGTAGGCGAGTTATACACTATACTTTTTCTACGACTGTAATAGATAACTGCGATTTTTTTTCCGGCTAGTAGTCATCTGATTTTTTCTTAAGAAATGATGCTCACCTATTATATAGATAGATGGAACTGTCATTGTTTGAAATTTGACTTTTCATATGAGATGAGATTTTGCGAAATGATAACACAATGAAGACATTGTGATATCAGGTACGGAAATGTAATTGATGGCATTCAAAATTGAATTGAAGACATTATATTGTACCTCATTGTTTTATCAAAAAGAGTAAAGGAAGCACAATTCCGTGTCATAGCCGTAGTTGTTGGATGGGAAAATAATTGATTATTCTGACGGTCATTACAAGAGCTTTGGAAATTTCCAATGTGAATGTTTGGACTATATTTCGATTTTCTCACGTTTTTATTGGAGATATAGAAAAATTTCAAAATACGGTTCCCACTATATTTTCATAGATTCTGGAAACTTTTCCCATTCTCTATACATTCATCCATGTATTATAAAATGTATTTTGACTGTGTTTCAACTTAGTTTGAGCCGCATCATCAATGTTTTTTCGGCATTCTAGAGAAAAAATATGACCAGTTTCACTTATTGTGGACGAGAATGAATCAACACACTAATATCAACTGGTTCCAATTCATATAAAGGTTCAAGAATAATCAGATCGAAAAATCTTATAAAACTAGTAAAACTACTACTTTTATGCACTTGTGAGGTGCAAAATGAAGTCGCTGTATATTCTAGTTTTATATATATGGATAGCTAATTTAGCTGCCTAATAAGAACGGAATTCTATACAGTGACTTCAGCTACACTTTCCTGGTACCTATTGAAAATTGAACTTTCTGAATTCAAATTCCACTGTAAGCTATAGGTCCCCTAACCCCGTATACAAGACTCTATTAGAGTTCGCTGTCAGCTACAAAAGAACAATATACGAATTTTTCAAAGAAAATTACAAAAATATTTACAAAAAAAGTGTTTGATGAAGAATTTGCACTTTAATCGGATATTTGATGTATCTCGTCGAAAAGAAAATCATAAGAATATACTTGGGGATTCTCGAAAAAATCTCAGTGCACATATTTTTTTTCATCTTGAAGTTTGTTGGAAATATCACCGAGTGTGTGGAATAAAAATTGTGGAAAACCATGTCAGCATTTATTATTGGAAATATATAATGTTGTATAACAGACCCTAAACCAGGAAGAAACTATTATTTATTTTACAAAGAGAGTCCTTAGATCGCATTGATTGTTCTGATACAAATTATAGCAAATCAAAATGGTAGGGTGCCAGCTGGCCAATCAGCACAATTCGATTTTCCTTTCTCAGCCAAGCAGATGATTAGTTTGTTGGAATATTCGCAGGAATCAGACTCATTTGCTGAAAAAAAAAAATACAGTGTGACTCATTTCAGACGACTGAAACACCTTCATAATCTTCACCGTTTTCAAATATATGTTAGCAGCCAGATGACCAAAAAGTGTACGCTAACACATATTCAAAAAGTTTATGCTAACACATATTTGTAGAGTTTGTTAGTGGTCAGCCGATGGTCAGCCTTTATTAAAGCACCAAAAATGACCTAATGATATAAGAAATATTCGAATTCATTTTTAAATCAATATCATATATTTTGTGAATTAAGAGATGATGTTCAGCATCACCAATTTCTTAGATCAAATAGACATGATGCATATATATAATTGATCGAAAAATTAAAATCAACATCATTTTTCGTATCAACTATGAATTTTGTAGGTTGAAATACATTTATCATGAAAAATGTTGTATTTTTGAATAAGTCGCTCATCTGAAATTAATACATATTTTGTTGTTTTGCAATAGAAGAAGCATCAGTAACATTGTGAACAAGAAATGAAAGATATATTTTTGGAGAAAACAGGTCATAATTCTGTTCATTTTCGAGTTTTAACCGTTGTTATGCTATGGGAAACGAATTCATTCATTTGGGTTCCATAACTTCTTTGCGATTTTCTCAAAAATAATTAATTTTATTTTTGACAATGCTGCTAATCCTGTTTTTGCTGATGTCTTCATGGACGAGTGTTTTCAATATCAAAGTTGTTGAAACTTTTTCCCTGATTGGCTATTATCCTAATCAAGGCCTCTAAATCCAGTGGTGTGGCAAAGTCGTTACTCCAGAATGAAATCGCTGAGCAATATTATTAAAAATATTTTTTTGCTGTCGCATCCTAACGTAGAAATTCATGAATTCGGTTGTGAAAAATAAATTGAATAATTTGTAAAGGGTGTCCAACTTAAACGTAGAAGTAGAAGTTTTCGAATGAAATTATCCATATTTTTTTCCATAATTCGATTAAGTCCGTCATTCTGAATTCAAAAATATGTATCATTCATATATTATTATCGGATAAAATTTAGATGGTTTAACCTGAAAACAAAGGATTTTTCTTCAGCCATTCTGTATTTTGTTGATGGTGGAATTACGGGGATAAAGGGGGGTGACACATTTAGGTGGGACACCCTGTACAATACATATCCCAAAATCATGGAACAATCTGACGAAATACCCTAAATATCACTTTTCTAGAGTGAGACCTCGAGTGAGAAATAATTACTACTGAATACTGTAAGCAATCGTAAATTATGCCATTTCTATTAGATTTTAGCTCCAGGTTGTGTTGCCTTCCGAAGCGTCACAACGCGACGTATTTTTTATTGACCAGTTTATTTTTTAATTGGAATGGAACGCATATTTATTTCTACTCACCTTCATCAACTTCTTGGAAGCATTCGTCAGTGGTATCTTGCAGAAAATTCTTCACTTCACGTTTAGGATTATCTTTCATCAACTCGTTGATAATTTTTGAATGATCTGGGAAACCATTATCGTCAGTCTGGAATAATAAATCGTTGGTGAAACTTTGTAGGAGCTTTACTTCGATATTTTCATCTGATGCGGACGCATTTGTGGAATGAGTAAATAAGAAAAAAATATTATACCACATTTTTTAAACGGCATGAAAAAAGAAAATGATTGTAAATTACTAATAGAATTCTCATCAGCGAATATTGAATTTCTGAATTTCAATAAGCGACCCCTTATCCTGGACAACGAAAATTCTCAGATTCACATTTTCTATACCTTATTCGTATTCAGACGAATCCGACAAGAAATGACAAACCACCTATACTTTTTTTTATTATTTATTTTTTTATCGCTTGGAGCGCACGAAAGGAAATCCCTATAAATTTCGAAGAACATCGTGTGTTCCTAGGGAAGATAGGGACAGGAGGTGGGTATTGGAATCTTTATTGAACTTCTGGAGATTATATGTTGTTGGGAATACTTCCTCAGGCAATGAATTCCAGAGCCTAGCCGTTCTATGGATGAAGGAGTTTTGATAAAGTGCTGTTCGACATCTTTCGAGGTTGACAACGGAAGGATGTGCTGACTGGGCTTGTCTAGTCCGTCTGACTGGTATTGATAGTGAAGGGATGATAGCAGAGATTTCCGAAGAACATTTTCCGTGGAAGTATCGATAGAAAAGTGAAAGGTCGCCGAACTTTCTACGGTGTTCCAATGATGTCAAAGAGTGAGTGAGTGTAAAGTAGCATTTCGCACGGAACAAGAATCCGAGTTTTTGTGAAGCAGCTTTTGCGATCGATCTGACATGATTATCCCATGAAAGAGTGTTGCTGATGGAAATACCGAGCATAGATATGGTGGGCTTGGTGGGGATGGTGGTGCCAGACATTACAATATCGGGCATACTGAGTTCCGTCTTTCTAGAGAAAATACAGGCTTGAGTTTTGGTGGCGTTGAATTCAACTAGGTTGTTGGTTCCCCAGGCTGTGATTGCAGCAAGGTCTTCATTGACAGCATTGACCTGCCTGCGCCGTGAGTTCTTAGTTTCCTGGAAAGAAATGGGAATTCTGGAAGAAGACGTAGTATGAAGGGTACTATCATCTGCAAAGCTGTGGATGGGGCAAGTTGTTACTCCCAACAGATCATTGATATGAAGAAGGAATAATGTTGGTGTATAAGCAGCATTCTAGAAGGTAGAATAATTCATACAAAAGGTTTTAGTGTGTTTTCGAGTATATATTGATGTCCTTTATAGTTCCTCAAAAGTCCCCCTATGAAAGTGTGTACGCTTAACACTTGGGAACGCTTTAAATATGCTCAAAAACGGTTTTTCTGATTTCTATAGATTGAACAACCTCGGTTTGTTCATCCGATCGATCATCTTCAATAGGCTCTGTATTTGAACAAGATAGACCATGAAAAATTCCACAACCTTTCGTACAATTACAAAAAAATCATATGTAAAAGACAATCAGGTTCGGGAGGTTGAGTTCTCGTCTTCGGCCACAGCAGGTTGTCTCTCAATACCCATCCCCAGTCCAAAGGATTATCCTGATCTTTGTAGTAAAATAAACTTTCCGACTTCAATGTATATATATAAATACCTATAAAATCATGCATGATATTCTTCCAGTCCATCAGAATTCCCAGAGTATAATTTGACATAACTGTTTTTTGTATTCATACCGTATATTTCATGAAATTCAGCAAGAACACATTTTTTTATTTTTCAAAATTTGAACGGCGTTCATCATGAAAAATATTGCTAGGACTTTTTCGTGCTTCTTCGTGTGAATTCATCTCATCTTTTATTTAGTATATACAGGGTGTCCGTTTTTCTAGCTCCACCATGAAGATCTCAGTTTTTATAAGAGTTACGACGTCGGTTAAAATACAGCAAAGTTGCGCATTTTGATGCCAAAGTTACAACACACAACTTTGTTTTTTCTTATGAGTGCCATATTGGATTTTTGCATTTTTGAAACGTCTTTTTTTTTCTGATTACAATGATGTATCACATGATAGAATATTTCCTATTGATCGAAATTGGGAAAACACATTCATGCGAAGAGTGCTTTGGAAAGAACGCCAACAGTTTTGTTTAACAAGCTGAATTTCGACAGTTCATTTGAATTTGGATCTGGAACGTTCACATTTTCGTCAAGCTCATCTACTTAAGAACTATGGTTTTGAATTAAGAACGACGTAATGGGTTAGAAGTTTATTCTCCGCAAAACAAAACAGAACAAAGTTATTAAAGATTCTTGAAAACTCCACCTTCCACTTCTAAAATCAATTCAACAGATCAGATTCAGAATTGCTCGCGAGATGTACCGTCTTGTACCGTCTTCTTATCTCACTCCTGAAAGTGGTGATTATGGTTCTTTTCAGCTCATCAATATCGATCGATACAGTTTCGAAAATCAAATATTTCATAGTTCCCAATAGATAATAATCCAGCGGAGAGAGATCAGGTGACCGCGCTGGAACATATCTGACAGACAGCCCTTCTTGCGTTATGTGGATAAGCTTAAGAATTCAACAGTTCTGTTCGCATTTTCAATTGAACTGTCTAAATTAAACAAAACTGTTGGCGTTCCTTCCAAAGCATTATTCGTAAAAATGTTTTTTTTGCAATTTTGTTCAACAGGAGAGATTTGATCATATCGTGTAATACATCATTGTAATCAGAAAAAAAAAGACTTTTCAAAAATACAAAAATCCAATATGGCGCCGATGAGAAAAACAAAGATGAGTGTTGTAACTTTGGAATCAAGAACGAAAACAAACTGAAACCTTTTTGTATTTCTTATTTCGTATCAGAATCCTGATTTCAGTATAGAAGCGGAATACGTGTCGTGTCGAGGCGTTGAATGGGTGAAATAGATTAGTGTGATCGGTGATATAGAGACAAAATGTATTTGAAGTAATCTTACCATGCTCAGTTGTTCTAGAACACAGTGAACGATGCATTTTTCCGATGCACTTTGGCTGCTGTTCGCTGTTTCTTCAGACAAATCATTGCTGCCGTTATTTGATTCATCTTCGTTAGAATCGTTCATCTTATTCTTATTGTTGTTACTCCTCATTGTAGTTGATTGTTGGTTACTGAAGGACTTGCCTGATTTAGCTCTTTTAATTCTACTTCCTCTACCGTTTCTTGAGTCTGCAATAATAATAGTTGACGAAAAGAACTTGTTTGTATGCAGTGTGCAGGACATAATAAGAAAAGTGAATTGCCGTTTGGTCTGGCTCAGTAACCAGTAAACACAACCTTACTCTAACAGAATTAGTGCGGTGAACATTAAACAATCCAAAATAATCAGGGTGCATGAAAATATGTACTGGAAATATGAGAATGAATCGATTTCTTCGTTTTATGTGGCCATAGATAAGTATTTCGAGAAGTGATGAAAAATGTACTGAATGGGACGACTTGTAGTGAATTTCATTGGCAGGAAATGGTGGAGTGTTTCTCCACTGAGTGTATACTTAGCGCTCTTTAACACATGCGAGAAAGGACACAATGACATGTACATTGAGTGCAGAAACAGCAGGAATTGTACCAACTAGAGGAGGAGTCCCAAGGACATAGTGTTGTTTCTTACTTTTTGCATTGGTTCCAGAGATTGGTTTGCCTTTTTCTTCTTCCGTCGAGTCTGATTCCTTTTCCACACCAGAAGGCATTGATTGGGAAGATGACATCGTCATTTCCCAGATCTTGTTCAGGGTGTCGTTGTTTTTGACACACGTTGCAAGTGCTTGTCTAATTTCATCTTTGTTCGATTTGCCAATACCACATTCTATAGCCTGAAACAAAATATACTGTGTTCCCAAACATCTTCATTTCAAATAGAATATCGAAGACTATCCAGTTGATCTTGAAAATCACTCGACTTGGTTTCATTAGTCAGATCTGACATGATTTTGATTCTGATGATGTTTGTTTGCAAAACTGTGTCATGAATCTATTCTATTTATACCATGCATGGAAAATATTTACAAATATACTCCATTATATTTACCTTTGAGTGTACCACATAACATGATACGAATATAATAATGAAACTCCTCATAATAGTCTCAGAATTGAATATTTCACCTGACAAACTGTATGCACCAAATGAGACTGAAAGAAGACTAATGAAAGTTTATGGAAACACCTCTTTATAAGGTTTGAATCAGGATTATTATTATTGAAATCCTATTCAAATAATAATAGGATACATGCTGAATTAACACAGATAAACAATGACTAATTGGATCACAATAAGAGATGAATAGAGAATTAATTTGTCCATCGATCACATGGTCTTGAATTTTTCAGTTTCCGGAAATATGTTATTTGCTGATTGTGTAACGGATAATGATCGTTTCTGAATGTCATGCGATTATTGAAGATTCGTGTGATTTCTTGCTGAAAACATCTGAATGTATCAATTCTCATTCCTCAAAACAATATAGATCGGGAGCCCATAACGTGTTTTTTGTGTCTCACTCAGCAGTATGAGAGCCACCAAATGTCGAAACATCGATTGCAACTATCGATATATCCGATAGTTCTGACTCATTTCTGACTATCGAAAACCATCGATAGTGTGTAGCGATAGTATCGATAGCGTAAAACTGAAGTGGAAGTAGTAGAACTAGAATAGTAATCGAAAACTGTGTTTTTCCTTTGAATCTGTAGAATTTTTGTAGACCTAAGGAAGATATGCCGATGCGGAAATCTCAACATGAATTCCTTCGGACTACACTAGTGATACTGAGCTTAAACCTGAAAAAGAGAAGTGGAAGAGTTAGCTGAGCATGCGTAGCAGTTTTGTCACAAGTCATTTGTTCACTTCATTCCCACCCAATTAGCATTCGATATTTGTGTATTAACACAATATCTGTACTATCCTGAAGGAAGTATAGTGTGGTCGTATAGAAGAAGTATAGTACATTTATTTCTCGAGTTGTAAAGCAATTACGCACTTGTGGAGTTACACACCCACCGCTACGCGCGGTATCGTGTGTAACTCTCTTCAGTCCGTGCGTAATATGGGATTTACAACTCTTGTTATATAATATACTATTGCAATTTGCATACAATCGTGGCGTGCCCAAGCACTGTCGTAATTTTTTCAACCCCCCATTTTTGTAATCACAAGAACAGTATTCCAATTTGGAAAAAAAACAATTGGCATGAATTTACTAATCATTCGAAATCATCAAAATTCAATTAAAATACAAATTTGATTGGTGATCATTGGCGAGTGGACTATTTTTTTTTATTTCTTAAATAGAATCATCACTCATATACCTTTCAATTCCATCATAAATTTTCAATTGAATATCGGAAATATTCCTAATTAGCAATAAACATTCAATTGTCTCAAAATGTTCCTTCATGATTTGTGGCGAATTGCTTGCAAAAAATTTGTGTAATATTAATTCACACTAGAGGTGAACGTGACTACACGGCGCACGACTTGTGGACGTGGTCTTGTCAGTCCTCAGCATTCAGCGCAAAGTTGCCAAGTCTCCAACATTTACATGATACTTTGTTATGAAGAATAAGCAATATTTGGACATGCTGGTTGCCAGAAAAGTGAAGAATGAACTAAAATATCATGGGTTCCTCCTATTATGTTCTATTCAACGACAGGACTCTGATGAAATCTCTTTGATAACTTGATTATAATAGGTGACTTGACAACCTTGCTTCATGAGTGCGGAGATGGAAGATTATCTGACCAATAACGACACAACATAAAAATTGACGTCACCATTTATTCGACGTATCGTGGACGTATCGCCAAATGGCGGCCATAAAGGTTCGTTCGAAATGAGCTCTGGAATTGAACACTTTCGAACAACGCAAAGACTCATGAGTGAGAAGTGATGCAAAAAATAATTCAGGTCCCTAACGACAAAGTGAAGTAATTGAATGCCAATAATTCATTATCAGTGCACTCGCCCATGGTCTAGAACATGGTGAAAACCCATAATAGTATATTATTCAACGAGCACATAATGATGGCTATTACTCACGAAGATGAAAGTTGCAGTACGAGCCGAAGGCGAGTGCTGTAATCATGTGAGTGGGTAATAGTCATTATGTGCGAGTAGAATACTATACTTTATCTACAACTATTCAAATATCAAAGCAAGTCTGAGAGTTCAGAAATATATCTTTGGAAGTAATGAAGGTTATTATATTGCAAAATCACTAAATATGATTTGAAATACTCATTGATGTCATTGAAAACTTATTGACCGAAATTTCAATCAACGAACAGCTTATAACTTATTTCAATAATTTTGATTGGGAAAATATGATAACAATGTTGGATCTAACTTTTATCAACAGGAAAAAAGTCGTGCAATCACATATCAGTCAATCTTACCAGGTATTATATGCCATTTCACATTTCAGTTGTAAAATGAATCATATACTATTGCAGATTATTCATTAACTTGCATCCGCTGTAGCGTTTTCCCCCACCGCGATGATTAATTGTAGTACCCTGTTTCTAGAAGCTAGTTATCAACAATGAAGTTTCATGGTTCTGAATGGTCGGTAATAATCTATTCGAATAGACCGCACATAAGTGTGAGCCGATCTGCAACTGTCAAGTGTCAAGTCCTATTTCATGGTTATGGTTACTCATGATGGTAGTCACTGTTGAGATTGAAAACAGTGAATTCTCATTTTTTCGTGTATTTGTAGAATTAAGGTGATAAAACTATGAGAACCATGTAAGGCGAGTCTTTTGAATTTACAATTTGCGTGTATTTCACGAACAGTAGTATAGTGGTGTGCTTTAGTAGTAACTAGTAGAACGAATACCTAACTAGTTGAATTTGACAAGACGATGGGATGTCAGATTATTACGCCATCCTACTGTCAATATTACTCTTATTATTCGATTCATCATAATAATGCCTGTCATTAAATGTTGAAAATCGAGTTAGCAATGTATGAATGACTCCATAGTTGTAGATAAAAATCATTACTCGAGAATTTGCAAGAAAATCTGTCATTATACTGGCCAGTCAATTATATCTAGTCTAGTACCTACTCTCGGATGGTAAAACAGAAAAATCACGGAACTTTGAGAGAAAATCTGTAGATTTTGAGAAAAAAAATCAAAATGTTGAGATTCCCTTGGAATCAGATTAAAAAATTGTGGCACCTCAACACTATGATACACAAGAGTCTCGAGATCATACCCGTGTGTTCACCGAACACGCCCGATCGTTACCTAAGCGGTGGGGAGACCGAGACGTAAGCAGGCAGCGATGATACAATGGTCTCTGTTTTTGTAGTACGGGGTGGGCCACCAACAGTTTTCTTGATCACATTTCAACATTTTTTTTTTTTTCGAATAAATAAGAAACATTTGATAGGCATCAAGTGATCTAGTGCGACCTATCAGATCATTTATCAGATAATGAAAGCGATGATTTGATTTGCAATAATTCGCTAGGTCACGGCGAGTCCTACATGTAAATAGCGAACCACTCATCGAAAATCATGAAACTATATGTACACATTATATGCTTATGTTTTGTTGGCGAGGACGCTCGTTTCATTCAAATTATTTTCGATAATGTTCATCTGCTTCACTAGAAATTATTATTAGTAGGTAGTTAGTAGTAGTATATAGTGTAGTAGCAGCTTTGTTATTCAAAATGGAACACCTTATATTTTATTACATTTTTCGATTCTTCTAATTGAGCTATGATTTCGTTGATCAAGCTCAAGGTATACCTATACGTAGAATGTGAAAAATCGAGATTCTTTTTGTATCGAAACTATACAATACCTATATTGATTTGTCAAAATGGCTTACATGTGTCCCTATCCTAACATTCTATTTACTATCTACTGATGCCATTTAATTGAAACAAATACAGGGTGGATCAGATTTCAGAATTATATAAAAGAAGTACTATATAGTATGCCTACTAAAATAATATATATATATTTGAAATAAACAAAACAAATATATCACATAAATAAAACACACTCTAATATTCAACATAAAATAAAATTCAATCCCACTGGATGTAATTAAAAATATAAACAGTGTGCATGTCACTTCTATAATGGAATCAACCCGTATATCTAACGTAACTGTTCAATTTTCAGGAGCGATAGATATATATATCAACTATGACCAAAGTGAGGTAATCTTCAGTGAAATACCCTGCTCGGGTCATGGACCCACCAACATTTCCAGAAAATTATATTAGGAGGCAAGATAGGTTGAAAATCACTTCGGATTCGAAATCAGGACGTCCAATTCACTGACTATTCATATTGTTCCTGAGAAATGTTCAGTTCTGAAAAATCAAATTTTTTTTCAATTTACTTAAAAGCACCCCCGTATCTTACGTAAGTATTCTATTAACAGCAGCAAGAAAGATACAATCAATGAGCAGTGTATATATCACTGAAGATGTCCCCACTTGATCAAAGAGTTTATTTTTGGTAGGTACCTATATCTATATTCAATACCTATGGCTCTTGTAAATTTCAGAATCCTAATAACTCAACAATTACGTAAAATACAGGAGTGTTTCCATTAGATTGACAAATTTGACTCCAAAATAATTCTGGCACGCGCCAATATTCATAACGAGAGAAGCTGCCTGTTTACGTCTCCCCTCCCCACCGCTTAGGTAACGATCGGGCGTGTTCGGTGAACACACGGGTATGATCTCGAGACTCTAGTCTACAATACGCCGTCGTATGCATCATCACAACAAAGATGTTACAGTTTCAGACGAGGCTTGACAACCTGGGCAAAACGCGCGAAGACGTGAGTGACGCCATCTGGAAGCAAATTGCGGCGACGGTTGGAAGATACGTCACTCAGACAGATGTCAGAAGAGCACATCTAGCGGAACTGAAAAGACTGGATGCCGATAGCGCCGCTGAAATAGCTGAAAATGAGGAGCGCATAAGGAAAGAGGAGGTATGGGTTGCGAGCAAGATCTGTCAGATCGAGCGATCCTCTAGGTAAAACATTGAAACACAACCTCACTTTTTGATACGTAATGAACGAATTACCAACGAAGAACTTGGCTTTAATCAACTAAAAAACTAGACATAATCATACTCAAGACGTGACATTGACAACTGAGTAAAATCTAACAAGACAGTACAGGGAGATTCATATCATTCTTCCCCTCTAGGGTTTCCATTGTCCACTTCGAAATTTTGAAGATAAGCAGGGGGCCTTCTGTTCCTGTGAGACCTCCGAGGTTCCTCTAACTCAGCCGGTGCCTCATCAGATTCCTCCTGTGACAAAATTGAAGGCAAACTGAGTTGTTCAGTTTCTTCAGAAGGAAGACACTCCTCAGAGTGATCTTCGTCATCGATAATTGGAAGTGGTGCCAATCGTCTATTAGACACTGTCACTGTTTCGCCATCGTTTCGTCTGATGAAAGAATATTGAGGATTGCTTTCGAGGAGTTCTACTTCCTCGACTATTGGCTCTGTCTTCGAATGGCGAACGTTCTTTTTCATCAGTACAGGTCCCGGTGTCAACCAGGTAGGTAATGAGTCTCCGTTAGGGGATCTCCGTGCATAAGTGAAAAGCCGCTCATGTGGTGTAGTATTAGTCGAGGTGCACAAAAGTGAGCGTACACAGTGCAGCGCATCCTTCATTACTACTTCCCAGTTTTCTATAGGCAGATTCTTGGATCGGAGACTAAGTTGTATGGTACGCCAGAGAGTTCCGTTAAGACGCTCCACTTGTCCATTCCCTTGTGGGTTGTAGGGAGTCGTCCTAGAAGAAGCTATGTTCGAGTTCTTCAAGAAGGTTTTGAACTCTTCAGACATGAAGGAAGAACCTCTATCACTGTGTATATATAACGGTTGCCCAAAAGTGAGAAAAAGATCTTTCAGGCAATTTATGACGGTGGTCGAAGTCATATCCTTACAGGCGTACGCAAACGGGAACCTGGAGTACTCATCAATAATTGTCAATATAAATCTCTTCCCTGTATTGGATGGTAGGGGTCCTTTGAAATCTATATTTATTCGTTCGAAAGGCGAAGTGGCTTTTATCAGGTGACCCTTGATTTTCATGAGCCGTGGCTTTATTTCAGCGCATATTCGACATGAAGCCGTCATTTCCTTAACGTCGTTAGCTGAGTAGGGTAGATTTTTGGATCGTATCCAGTGAAACATCCTGGTGACGCCTGGATGGCAAAGTGCATTGTGAAGTTCACTAAGCTTGTTCGTATTCATGTAGCTGCAAACTCGAGATAAGGCGTCAGCCGCAGTGTTTTCTTGGCCTGGTCGGTACATTATGTCGTATTTGTAGCATGACAGTTCCAATCGCCAGCGCAATATCTTCTCATTTTTTATTTTACTATTATGATTTTGGTTCAGCATGTACGCTACTGACTGTTGATCGGTTATTAGGAGGAAATGCTTTCCTATCAAGAAGTGTCTCCATTTCTTCAAGCTGTCTACAATGGCACAAGCCTCTTTTTCGATCGACGATTGTTTCTGTTCTGAGCCCGATAGCGTACGAGAAAAAAAAGCTACGGGACGACCATGCTGAGATAGTATAGCTGATATTGCTACTTCAGAAGCGTCAGTCTCAACTGTAAGTATTTCATCATCATCAATTGCTATGAGAGTGGCTCTTTTAATATCAGATTTCAGTTCTTCGAAACATTTCAGGGCGTTGGTCGACAATGGAAATGAAGTATTGCAAGTAAGTGGTTTTATCTTATCCGAGAATCTCTCCACCCATTTTGCATAATGAGCAAACAACCCTAAAGCTCGTTTCAGTTCGCCTGTGTTACTTGGAGCTGGAAGTTCTTGCAAAGATTTCAACCTCTGACTATCGGGCTTAATGGTATTGTTTTCTATTGTATACCCAAGAAGGTTGATCTTGTCCTTTTTGAAAACGCACTTTTGTTCGTTGAGAGTTAGATTGTATTTTTCTGCTGCAGCTAGAAATGCTTTAAGGTTACAGTCATGTTCTATTTCGTTCCGGCCGCAAACCGTAACGTCATCCAGATATGCATAGGTACCTTGTAGTTTTTCTTTTGATATAACGAATTCTAGAGTTCGTTGAAATGCTGCTACCCCGTTGGTAACACCGAAGGGTATCCTCGTAAATTGATAGAGTTTACCGCAAGCTTCAAAAGCCGTATATTTCTTTTCTTGTTCGAGAATAGGTACTTGGTGATAAGCCGATTTGAGGTCGATTTGGCTGAACAATTTGAATTTCGACACATTGTTCACGATGGTCTCGATATGCGGCAAAGGATACGCATCTAATTCAGTGAATTTATTAATCGTCATGGAGTAGTCTATCACAAGACGTTTTCGGTGAGAACCGCTACCAGCCACTAGGACTTGTGCTCGCCAAGGTGAGACGCTGGGTTCGATCACTTTGTCTTCTAGTAATTTTGATATCTCTAAAGCAATGAATTTTTCATCATCATTACTATAGCGTCTGCTCTTGACAGCGATCGGTTTGATGTCAGGTGAGAGATTAGTGAAAATTGATGCTGGCGGGACTGTAGCTTCCGTCACACTGCATATTTCCAAGGGCTTTTTCGGACCACCAAATTTGAATTGAAGACTTGAGTGGTCCTTCAGTAAATCATGACCCACGATAACATCAGCACAAAGATCATCTACGATGAGAAGAGGGCGTTGTTTATACGTATGCTGATTCATAGTGATTGTTGCAAAGCATAACCCTTTAACAAAAGAGACATGATTGAGGGATGCAAGATTCACAGTTTGTCTACAGGGTTTTTGTTGTAGCTTCATCAGACGAACAATCTTTCTGTCGATGAAGCTGACAGAGCTGCCGGTGTCTATGAGTGCGTCAACTTTATATTCGTTCACCCTGATTGGAATAGTCGCACTCCTTAGGCTTGATGGAGAGGCTGCGGAAATGGCGCCAGCACATGACTGTCCAGTGGCATGAGAGTAAATATCTGTCGTATTCTCGTCAGGTATAGCATTGCTGGTAGCATTTCCAGATCTGCATACACTCGCAAAGTGACCTTTCTTCGAACACAATTGACAAATAGCATTCTTGGCAGGACATTTGATTCTTTGATGAACATTTCCACCGCAAAAGAAGCATCTTCTTGTCGACTGTGACGACAAGGGTGCGTTCCGTGTCATTTGTAGAGAAGTCGCAGCTAAATCCGCTGACATCGGCATATCCTTCGATGAACGATCAGGTACGGCATTGAGTAGCGGGCAGCTGCTGCTCATTTCACGGGAATCTTTTTCGGCTGTTTCAAGAGCTATAGCTTGGTTAAGTGTTTCGTCTAGAGTAAGTTGTGAGTTCTCCAGAAGACGTTCTCTTATTTTCTTCGATTGAAGGCCTGAAATCAGGGCACTACGGATTGCTTGGTCCTCATGTTCTTTAGCAGTCACCGCCATGAAGCGACAGTCTTGTGCCGATAGCCGCAACGCTCTCGCGTAGTCGGAAATGGATTCATCTGATCGTTGTTTTCGATTCGACAACACGTAACGAGCCAGTATTGTGTTTTTTGGTTTTATATAGATACCTTCTAGTACATTTAGAGCTTCATCAAAAGTCTTACAGGATTTGATGTGTTTGAATAGTGTGGCTGAGAGGTGACTCACTAGTAGTTTCAACTTCAGAGAGTCGGATGTATCTTTAGGAGCTTCTTCAGCTAGAAAATTCTCGAACGTGGATTTCCAATAGATCCATTTAGAGTCCGCATCGGAATCATTAGGTTCCACATCAAACTTATCGGGTCGTAGATATTTTGACATCGATGAACCCGCAATGGATAGGCTATTTTCTTGAGGCATTCTGAGTTACTTTTAGTTGATTAAATTGATACGTAATGAACGAATTACCAACGAAGAACTTGGCTTCAATCAACTGAAAAACTAGACATAATCATACTCAAGACGTGACATTGACAACTGAGTAAAATCTAACAAGACAGTACAGGGAGATTCATATCACTTTTCTTGTTTGTTTACAAAGAATTGAAATAGTTATTAACAATTATTTTGGAATACGAATCGTGTTTTTCGGGTATTCATTGATTTAAGCATTCCATTTATATTGTGCTGTAGTACAATGCACAAAAAATGCAGCGAGAGACCAAGGAATTCGATTTTTCAGGTATGTAGATTGTGATCTAAAAGTACTATAGTCACTTACATATATAGATTCAGATTGAGATATAATCACAGATTAATTTTGTCATTCTTATTGATTAATACCTACTAGATTTCGATTGCCATTCTTGTGAATATCGCATCAGAACAGTGAATTCGACTTGATTATAACAGAGGTGGCTTTATTGACTAGTGGCTCATAAAACGAAAACCACCTCGGTAGTAAAATAGCTATTTGTGTATTTAGAGCGCAAAGTGATAGATTGCCGCTCGACAAAGAAAGTTACCGCGCGATGCGGAGCGGAGCGCGGTAATCTTTGGAGAGCGGCAATAACACTTTGTGCTCGAAATACACACAAGATTTTTCCTACTAACGCAGATTTTAGAAATAACTACCCTGAAAGTATGAGCGATTGAAATAGTTGAAAAAGTTCTAATCCATATTATTTCATATGTCTAAAGGAAACAAAAATAGTAAAATTAAAATAACTGACAAGCCAGAAAAAAAATGTCGGGCCAACTGTCACTATTTTTCATCATGAAAGAATTGGGGGTTTTCAAGAATAGATAAGTATAGGTTACAGAGATGTGCGAGCATTTTTTCAATATTTCCGCCCACGAGCGCAAATGCTGTCAAAGAATGACATTTTTGGGAAAACGTCAACTTTGTGCTGGAAATTGAAAGCGTCAAAGGCTACTTTGTTGAGTGTTTGTAGAAAAACTCAATTTCCGCCTTCAAAATGAGTAAATAATGGTAGGTTCTATAGCTAGTGGTATGGAAAAAATCTTATCAATTCGTCTTGATTGTACAACAGTAGAATTTGATGG